GAGCTTAAAGCCCCTGATGGCTCTGGGCGCTGACTCTCACCAGTGGCTATGGATGAAGTCACAGGCGATTTTCAGCCAGCGCCCCAGTTTTTATCCTTTTGTGACAGAGATATCTCACTTAGCATAAGATCCTCAAGGCTCCCTCATAGTAATCTTTTACTATTTCATTGTTTTTCAGTGCTACATAGTATTCCATTGTGTAGATGTACAATAGTTTTTCTGCACTAGTTTCTTTTAGTTTATGTAGAATTGTACTTTTGTTTCAGAGATGATCTTGTGCATTTGCTTTACATAAACTTAAATTTGTCCTTTTCTGCGTTTATTAGAAACATTAAAGTTTCTTACTTTCTCTGTATTTGTAGTGTAGATTTATGAAGTGTTTTAGAATCCAATGTAAAGATTTTCTTTGATATAATAAATAAGAATTTTTAAAAATGTTAAACAAAAATATATTTAAATCAGTTATTGAAAAAGAATTGTTTTTGTGGGATTCTACAAAGAAATACATGCAGTAAGTGGATTTCATTTGCTAATATGCATTTCATTTGACAGTTAAAATTGTTTAATGCTCTTTCCATTTCCCTTTACTCACACCTGCACCTTTCCCAAGAAAGCGTGATGCTAACCATTAAGATGTCAGTTTCATAAGTACTTATCAAATTAAAGTGAGAGAATGTCAAAAGGAATTATCACTTGCTTTGTTATACTGAACTCCTTTAAGCTAAAATCATTTGATGTTAATAGGTTCTGGGTGCACTAAGAGGATTTTTTTTTCTTAAGATAAAAATGACTTTACTTCAGTGGTGGAACTAATCATGTTTAAACTTTTTTCCTAGCCTCACTTCGCCAGATATCATCTAACAAATTTCCTGGCTCATCTGGATCAAATATGATATATTATCTGGTTGTAGGTGTCACAGTCAGTGCTGGTGGATATTATGTAAGTGTTTAAATAACTGTACTATTGTGGAATTCAGAAGTTTTATAGCCAGTGGTAAACTGAAAGCAATATTAAGGTCTGTTAAAACTGTCAAATTATTAAATACACACATACAATGTAGCCACTTATTTAAATATACATTTACAAATAAAATTTCCATAAGAATATACTAAACTATTATAAATAATTTTTTGAAATGTAAAGAACATTTCTTATTATTGCTAAGTGTAACTGTCTTTCAGTAAAAATGCTACAATTATAAATATTACTGCTAATGTTGTTAGTGACATTGAGTCAGTTCCAACTCATTGTGACCCTGTGTACAACCGATTGAAATCAGATCTTGGACCATCCTCACAGTCTCTGCCATGATGATCCAGCCCACTGTTTCATTTAATCTGGCAATCCATCTCTTTGAAGGTCTTTCCTTAGCTGGCTCTACTTTTCTCAGCACGATGTCCTTCTCTAGTGACTGGCCCCTTCTGATACTTTGCTTCTGAGGAACATTCTGGCTGCACTTTTTTTCAACAGAAATTTGTTTGGTTTTGATCTATTCAATATTCTTTGCCAATGTCACCATTCAAAGGCAGCAGTTGTTCTTCCATCTTCTTTTATTCATTGTTCAAATTTCAAATGTTTATAAAGCAATTGAAAATACTGTAATTTGAGCGATGCACACTTCTGTCTTTGAATTGACTTTCTTGCTTTTTAGCACTTTAAAGAGGTTCTTCATAGGAGATGTTGTTGCTATGTGCCATCGAGTCACTTGTGACTCATAGCGACCCTATGTACAACAGCCCTAAACTCTGCTCTATCCTGTGCCCAATCGCACTGTCTCCAATACATCATCCTGACTACCCCAGTCACTGAATCAATCCACCGCATAGAGGGCCTTACCCTCTTGCACTGTTCATCCACCCTACCAAGCATGATGTCCCTCTCCAAGAACCGGTCCCTCCTTAGAACATGTCCAAAGTATGTTAGACAAAGTCTCAGAATCCTTGCCTCCAAGGAGCAGCCCAGTTTAACCCTTTCCAGCATGAATCTGTTTGTTTTCCTAGCAGTCCATGGTATCCTCAATACTCTTCTCCAGCACAAAGCTCAAAAGGCATCAATTCTCCTTCTGTCCTCCTTAGTCACTGTCCAACTCTCTGATGCATAACAAGTGATTGCAAAGACCATGGCCTGTATCAGACGCACCTTAGTCTCCAGAGAGATACCATTGCTCTTCAGTACTTTGGAGAGGTCCCTAACAGCAGACTTTCCCATTGCAATACGTCTTTTAATTTCCTGGCTAATGGGCCAAGAGTGTTGACTGTGGAGCCAAGCAAACTAAAGCTGTGAAAAATCTCAATCTCTTACCATCCATCCTGATGCTGCCAGTTGGCCCAGTGGTGAGAATCTTTGTCTTCTTGACATTGAGCCTCAATCCATATTGGAGGCTGCAGTCCGTGACCCTTTGCAGCAAGCGCTTCAGGTCCTCCTCAGTTTCGGCAAGCAGGGTTGTGTCATGTGCATAACACAGACTGTTGATAGATCTTCCACCAATCTTAACCCCACATTTCTCCTCATAGAGCTCAGCCTCCCAGATAATCTGTTCTGCATACAGGTTGAAAAGGTATGGAGACAGGACACATCCCTGGCACACGCTCTTCCCAATTTTGAACCATGCAGTGTTCCCTTGCTCTGTTCTGATGACTGCCTGTTGGTCCAAATATAGGTTTCTCATTAGCATGATCAAGTGTTCTGGGATTCCCATTCTTATCAGAGTCAGCCATAGTTTGTTATGATCCACATAGTCAAATGCCTTTGCATAGTCAATGAAACACAGATATACATTCCTCTGCTATTCCCTGCTTTCAGCTAAGATCCATTTAACGTTAGCTACAATATCCCTAGTACCACGACCCCTTCTAAACCCAGCCTGGACTTTTGGCAGTTCTGTGCTGATGTGCTGTTCCAGTTGTTTTTGGATAATTTTCAGTAGAATCTTGCTTGCATGTGAAATCAATGATATTGTTCTATAGTTTCCACACTCTATTGGGTCACCCTTCTTTGGGA